AAACGTATATTTCAGCCCATATACTACCAAGAAAGAAAATAAGAGTAATTTGTCCTAGAAAGTAGGTGTTACCTTGTCTTTCAGTTCAAGAGATTATATAACAGATAATTACATGTTAAAATTATACAATTGTATGTGATTTTGCTGCTTACCCAAAGAACGTTTGAGAAATCACTATTTTTCCTCACAATACGGACTTTCCCCACCTCCCACAAATAAAATAAATCTCCAGGTAGGATATGTTGTCATTTTAATAGCATCTTGTAGGATGCCAGCGGATACAGGGTTCGCTTGTGTATTTCTGCCCTTGAGATCAGGCCTGTATGTTCTGATATCCTCTTGTTTTCAAGCAGCATCTGTGAACATTCTCAGCTATCTGTCTGTTAGTGTCATTTACCATAATGTGTTTAGAAAAGAGCAAGCACAGTAACCCTCATCCTGTTTTCAGTCCCACTTATTCAGGAAATGGAATCCAGAATCATGATCCCACTGAAGACCTCGCCCCTCCAGTAAAGCTGTAGAGTTTATATGTGCCTACATACATTTCTGTGACAAGTATTTGTCATAAATTAATTTTAATTGTTTATCAAGTGAAAAAAGAAACACCGAGGTTTAAGCTGCCGTCTGTAGCTTGTGAGAGACCTCTTTTCTTTAAAATTTACATAATCACAAGAAAGGCAACAATCACAGTTGGACTGACGAGGCAGCACCCTGTCGGCCTCTCTGAAACATCCCCATGTTGTCCAGTGTACCTTGTAACACTGAGCCGCTCTTCCCACCCTCCAGAACGGGTCCAGATGGAAATCTGAATCATCTCTAAAATAAGGTTCCAACTATGAAAAAAATTAGCCTTTTCTTTACTTAAAAAAAAAACTGCTTTATAATTACAGATTTTTAGACAAATTTCTTGTATCAGGAAGAAATACAAATTTTGTTATGTTTCTCGAGCAGTTTTTCTGAGTCTCTGAGGAGGAACAACTTAAAAGTGTAGCCACTAACTGAAAATGTGTTAATTCACTCTCATTTGTAATCAGTCCACGTAGTAGACAGTGTGTTTCCCAAGCTGGGCAAGGTACATATAATCAGTAAATCAGTTTCACATCATGTACTGTGATGTTTCTATGTGAGAGACAAAAACAATGGCTTGAAACTTGTGTATCACATGTGATTTTGAAATGAACACCTTGAATAGCACTAATTTTTATTTGTGATATTTTTCTATAACAAAACAAGTAGCACTAGGAAAAGAGGCTTTATTTTGTAAATGGTCATTTGTGACCTCAGACACTCTCTGTTTAATATTTTAATAAGCTCACAGCAGATACTTCAAGATCATGAATGAGGGTGGTGCATGTTGATTCAAACTGGCATAAAGCTGCATACTTTTTGTCTAGCTGTTTGATTTCATTTTTTAATATAGTGTGCCAATTTTGTGACTGTTATCATGTGAAAGTCCTGCTGAAATCAACAATTATGTCTGCTCCACAATTAAGAATGTACATCTAAAGTGTGAATAAATCTCATATCCAATGTCAAACTTACATGTGAATGATTTTCTCCAAGAACATAGAAAAGTCAATAAAATCCTCTTAATTTTCACATACCACGTTTGGACTCATTTTTTAAATTTGTGGTGAGAATGACAAACATGTGCTGTGAACGATCCTGTCACTCTTGCAAAAGAGCTTGTAACAAAGGATTGAAGGAAGTGAAGAAGTCAGCTGGCTTCTGGGGAAAATTCCTCCATAAGAACAAATTACCAGGCCCTGGGCAAGGCCATGCCTGGTGTGTGCTGAGGATCGCAGAAGACACCATGGTGGAAGCAGACACAAGGGAGACCGTGCTGGGACACCAGCTCAGAGGTCACAGGGCTGGACCTGTTGAGTGTTGGAGGCCAGTAGAAAGATCCTAGTGGCTGGGCCCAGTGGCTTACACTGGTAATTCCAACACTGGGAGGCCGAGGCCAGAGGGTCCCTGAGCGCAGGAGTTCGAGACCAACCTGGGCAACATGAGTGAAACTCATCTCTACAAAAAATGGAAAAATTAGCTGGGCATAGTAGCATGCGCCTGTAGTCCCAGCTACTCAGGAGGCTGAGGGAGGCGGATTGCTTGAGCCCAGGAGGTTGAGACTGTAATGAGCTGTGATCACGCCACTGCCCTACATTTTGGGCAACAGAGCTGGACCCTGTCTCAAAAAATAATATAAGGCCGGGCATAGTGGCTCACACCTGTAATCCCAGCACTTTGAGAGGCCAAGACTGGTGGTAGATCACCTGAGGCCAGAAGTTTCAGACCAGCATAGCCAACACGGCAAAACACAGTCTCTGCTAAAAACACAGAAATTAGCCGGGTGTGGCACACGTCTGTAATCCCAGCTACTCCGGAGGTTGGGGCAGGAGAATTGCTAAACCTGGGAGGCAGAGGTTGCAGTGAGCCAAGAATGTGCCACTGCACTCCAGCCTGGGCGACAGAGCGAGACTCTGTCTGCAAACACAAAATAATGAAAGACCTTGGCTTTTACTTTAAAGGGGGAGATGAGAGATGAGATCCGCTGGAGGTTTGAAAGCAGAGGACAGGCACGATCTGACTTACATTTTCAATAGTAAGTAGGCAGAATGGCCAGATTCTAAATATGTTTTGATTGCAGAGCTAACGTGAATCCCTGAACAAGTGATTGTGGAGTATGAGTGAAAGAGAAAAAGTGACTTCAGTTTTGGCCTGAGCACCTGGAAGGCTGGGGAAGGTGGAACAGATCTGAGGGAATGAAGATCAGAAATTCTGCTATGCTCGTGGAGTTAGAGATGTCTCTGCGCAGATCCAGGTGGAGATATCAGGTGGGTCTTGGTTATGAGTCTGGAATTAAGATAGCCTTCCGGTCTGGATATACACATTTGCAAATTGTCCACATAAGTTAAAGAGAGGCAGCCGGGCGTGGTGGCTCACGGCTGTAATCCCAGCGCTTTGGGAGGCCGAGGTGGGAGGATCACTTGAGGTCAGGAGTTTAAAAACAGCCTGGCCAACATGGTGAAACCTCATCTCTACTAAAAATACAGAAATTAGATGGGCATGGTGGTAGGTGCCTGTAATCCCAGCTACTCAGGAGGCTGAGGCAGGAGAATCGCTTCAACCGGGGAGGTGGAGGTTGCAGTGAGCCGAGATAATGCCACTACGCTCCAGGCTGAGTAACAGAGCAAGACTCCATCTCAAACAAACAAACAAACAAAAAATGGATGACTCAGCCCTCCTTCTGATAGGAGAAGGTCCAACTTCAAAGGAATTCCAATTTCTAAGGGATGTCAAGGCAATGTAAAATTATAAGAATTCACTATAGCCTGGGCATGGTAGCTGAAATCCCAGAGCTGTGGGAGGCTTGTTTGAGGCCAGGAGTTCAAGATCAGCCTGGGCAACATAGCAAGACCCCTGTCTACAAAAAATACAAAAATTAGCTGGATATGGTGGCACTTGCCTGTAGTCCCAGCTACTCAAGAAGCTGAGGCAGAAGGATCACTGAAGGCCAGGAGTTGGTGCCTGCAGTGAGCTATGATTGCACCACTGCACTCCAGCCTTGGAGACAGCGTGAGACCCTGTCTCTAAAAAGTAAGAATTCACTACAAGCTGCCCCTTGGTGCCTTGGCATCATACTTTGAACCTAAAGCGGCTGTAGTTCAAGTGGTGGAGATCTATTGTCAGCAACGGGAACGAGGCTGTGATGATTACGATCAGAGCTGTGTGGGGACAGATTGTGGTGGAAAGCCAGTGGGTGGTAAAAACACGGGGAGTGGATGGTCCTCTCGTCAGCAGGTTCAGGGGATGAATGATACAGAGTTGGTGCCTCCTCGGAAAAGTAATGAATTTTAGTAACCTGTATCAGAGTTCCCTATAGGTATGGGAGTGCGAGGTGTGTATCTAAGCAGAGAGCGGAAGTATACCAGAATCACAGGCTAAGCAGTGAGTTCAGGAAGAAACGCAAATAATGTTCTGCGTCTGTTTGTGTCTTAGGAGAGAGGGTCCGTGGGCTCATCCATCCATGGGGAAACCTCCGTGGCTGGAGGGTTAGTGTAAGGGGTGAAGTCATCGCCAACGTCAAGGTCTTAGGTTGGGGTAATGCTGTCTGAGGTTGACGTCATCTCCAGTGGTGAGATTTGGGGCCAGGGTGGCATCATCCGGGATATGAGGCTGGAGCACCCCTTTCTTCTCTTTTCTTTTTCTCTTTCCTTTTCTCTTCTTAGAGTTTTGCTCTTTCTTTGTTGCCCAGGCTGGAGTGCAGCGGCATGATCTTGGCTCACTGCAACCTCCGCCCCCCAGGTTCAAGAGTTTCTCCTGCCTCAGCCTCCTGAGAAGCTGGGATTACAGGCATCCACCACCACACCCAGCTAAATTTCACCATGTTGGTCAGACTGGACCCAAATTCCTGACTTCAGGTGATCTGCCTGCCATGGCCTCCCAGAGTGCTGGGATTGCAGGCATCAGCAACCACGCCCGGCCTGGAGTACCCTTATCAAGTGGGCACCCACCAGAGTGGATGTGGCCTCAGGATTTATCATTGGTTGAAGCACTGGTCTATTGGAGGGTTTGGGCCTCCAACCGTAAACCAGTAGCACCAGTACTCATGCCTGTAGGAATAAGACCAACAGTCGGCCGTGCATGGAGGCTCACGCCTGTAATCCAAACACTTGGGGAGGCTGAGGTGGGTGGATCACTTGAGGTCAGGAGTTTAAAACCAGCCTGGCCAACATGGTGAAACCCCATCTCTATTAGCCGGGCATGGTGGCACATGCCTGTAACCCCAGCTACTTGGGAGGCTGAGGTGGGGGAATTGCTTGAACCCAGGAGGCAGAGGTTGCAGTGAGCCGAGATCACGCCACTGCACTTCAGCCTGGTGACACAGTGAGATTCCATCTCAAAAAAAAAAAAAAAGAAGAAGAAAAGAGAAAGAGGAGGAAGTTTAACTCAGTGTCTCTGGGAAGCAGCTTCTCTCTGGGACAGCCCACACTGCAAGATAATCAGTTACTTTCCCTCCTTTTAGTTTTCTGTAAGTAAAATCTTCAGAATAGCTTGTGTTTCTAGGTGACCAAAACTATATATATATATATTTTTTTCTTCCCTTTCTTTGGACATTTACCTGACAGCTTCCACTGATACCAAGTAGTTGTTTTGTTTTGTTTTTGAGACAGGGTCTTGCTTTGTCACTCAGACTGGAGTACAATGGCATGACCTCAGCTCACAGCAGCCTCCACCTTCTAGGCTCAGCGATCCTCCCTCCTCAGCCTCTTGAGTAGCTGGGACTACAGCGTATGCACCATGCCCAGCTAATTTTTAAATTTTCTGTAGACACAGGGTTTCACTATGTTGCCCAAGCTGGTCGCAAACTCCTGGGCTCAAGCAATCCTCCTGCCTGGGCCTCCCAAAGAGCTGAAATTATAGGCATTAGCCACGCACTTGGCCACCCATTGCTTTAATTTAGGGTCTTTAAGATGGACAGCACCCCTCCAATGATTAGGAGAGACCCAAGATGGAAATAAAGAGTTTACTACTAGGCTGGACATGGTGGCTGCTGCTTGTCCCAGCATTTTGGGAGGCTGAGGTGGGAGGATCGCTTGAGTCCAGGAGTTCAAAACCTCCCTGGGCAATTTCTGTAGACCCTGTGTCTACAAAAAATTTTTAAATTAGCCAGCATTGATGGGGTGTGTCAGTGATCCCAGCTACCTGAGAGGCTGAGGCAGGAGGATCACTTGAGCCACATCAAGGCTGCAATGGGCTGTGTTCATGCCACTGCACTCCAGCCTGGGTGGCAGAGTGGGACTCCGTCTCAAAAAAAAAAAAGTTTATCACTTAAAGATCCTAGGGGTACATGACACTCCTGGAGGTCATACACAAGAGATGAGAAAGAGACTTGGGACCAGTGCCTCTAGTGGGATCCTGGGCATTACCCAAGCAGGTTTCCACGTGGAGATTTTAACTGGTGGGTGTGGTTGCTCACGCCTGCAATTCCAGCACTTTGGGAGGCCGGGGGCAGGTGGATCACCTGAAGTCAGGAGTTTGAAACCAGCATGGCAAACATGGTGAAACCCCCATCTCCACTAAAAATACAAAAATTAGCCAGATGTGGTGGTGGTCGCCTGAAGTCCCAGCTACTTGGGAGGCTGAGGTAGGAAAATCACTTGATCCTGGGAGACTGAGGCTGCAGTATGCTGAGACTGCACCACTGCACCCCAGCCTGGGCAAGAGAGTGAGACCCTGTCTCAAAAAACAAGCAAAAAATAAAGCAAGCAGTCACGAGTTCCATGAGGTCATGCAGCAACTGAATGGCGGTCACTGCAGCACATTGCACAGTCTGTGCGGGGTGTGAGGGTCAGCGGGGCCAGCTGAACAGGCTGCATAAACTGTCCCACGGGAAGGTGGCCACCAGGGGTCAGTTGTGTAAGGCAGACTTCTGGACCCCCCACACTGAGGAACCGGGGGGTCAGGGAATAGAGCTGGATACCGTGCCAAGTGACTGAATTGGCTGGGTGCGGTGGCTCACGCCTATAATCCCAGTGCATTGGGAGGCCAAGGCAGGCTGATCGCCTGAGGTCAGGAATTTGAGACCAGTCTGGCCAACAT